CCAGGGGCAGGGGGACTGGCCAGGGGCAGGGGGACCGGCCAGGGGCAGGGGGACCAGCCAGGGGCAGGGACCAGCCAGGAGCATGGGGACCGGCCAGGGGACAGGGAGCAGCCAGGGGACATGGAACAGCCATGGGCATGGGGACCAACCAGGGGACAGGGGCTAGCCAGGGGCAGGGAGCGGACACGGGCACGGGGACTGGCCAGGGGCAGGGGCCCCAGCTCTGCGGGTGTCATCTGGTGCATTCACTGACCCCAGCCCCTCCCAGGCCCCTGCTCAGGACAGTGGCAGCATCACCCTCCAGCCAGGGTCAGGGCTGATGCTAAGGTGAGGGCGGCTCTCAGGTTGCCCTGGGTGAGACCAGGGAGCCGGCAGAGTCGCCACAGAGGAGGCCCCAGACAGCCACCGTCTGGAGTCGGGAGCAGGTTCCCTGCCGACCCAACTCCCCAGCCTGCCCTCGCTGACCCCGTGCCACACAAGGGTGACCCCAGCACTACCGCCCGCCCAGGCCGGGCTGCTCGTCAACAGCGGGCAGAGGGACCGCCCTAGAGCGCCATCCGCCTGAACCTGGTTGGACAGCGGAAGCCTCGACCCGGCCGCCTGGGGCCCGCCACTTCGTCACTGTCACGGGGTGAACGGGGTGAACGGGGTGAACGGAAGCCGGGCAGGGGGCCCCCTTGGAGGCCTCCGCTCCGCATCCAACAGTGCCCTGCCCCCAGGCCCCTCAGGACAGAGTCGCTGAGATCACTAAGAATTGCAGGGTGGTCACAGAGAGCATGACCCGGTGGGGCCCTGGGTGACTGCCCCGGGTCTCGTGTCCTGGGCCCCCCTTCTCCCTACAGCCCCCCATCTCTTTGCTCCTGAGCTGGGGCCCCAGTGTGACCAGTGGGGACACGGAGCCGGTGCTCAGGGCTTGCTCAGCTGCTGGTGCATGTACTCATGCACACGAGTGCATGCCACACACCAGGCACGGTGCATACCTCCCGCACATGCCTGCACATACGTGTGCCCCTGGGCCGAGGGCCCCGGCCCCGCTGAGCCGCCCTTTCCCGCAGAGGGAGCGGGAGAATGGCTCCAACCTGGCCTTCATGTTCCGCCTGCCGTTCGCCGCCGGCCGTGTCTTCAGCATCAGCATGTTGGACACGCTGCTGTATCAGGTCAGCGGGCGGAGGCAGGGAGGCCCCGCACCACTCTCTCCGGCCCGCTGAGTCCCCGCCAACATCTGTCCCCGTCCTGAGTGACCCGCCTCCCCCTGTGCCACCCTCCCTGGGTGTCCGGGAGGCCCACCGGCCCTGGGTGGCTCTGGGCCCCGTCCCTGCCCAGGCCCAGTGGGGACTCACCTCCCAGGTCCCTCTGACCTGACTGACCAAGTGAATGAGGGACGAGGCCAGGGAGGCCTCCGCTCGGTTGGCTGGCTGAGTGGTGCTCGGGACG